CGGCGCTCTCTTTTTAAAAAATCCCTAACTTTTCAACTAAAGCAAGTAGCATTTCAAAAACTCACCAGTCTTTCGAAGATACTCGATTTTAAAGGTTAGGGCAGTTTCACCCTGCAAAATCACCCTGAATCCTAAGCATTGCCAGATCAGTAAATGTCGGGCCCAAAACGCATTTTTGTCCTCAACTGCGCCTTGCCATTAAAAAAATCACAACTTCTGAACTGATATGATTAACAACTTGAAATTTTTGCCACCTTTGAAGGAACCTTGAGGCTAAAGGTGCTGCGAGTTTGAGAAAAATGGATACAAATTGTGATTTTTGCCAGCTTAATAAACATCGAACTCAAAATGGGACGTTTGATCCAGCGGCGCTCTCTTTTTAAAAAATCCCTAACTTTTCAACTAAAGCAAGTAGCATTTCAAAAACTCACCAGTCTTTCGAAGATACTCGATTTTAAAGGTCAGGGCAGTTTCACCCGGCAAAATCACCCTGAATCCTAAGCTTTGCCAGATCAGTAAATGTCGGGCCCAAAACGGATTTTTGTCCTCAACTGCGCCTTGCCATTAAAAAGTCACACCTTTTAAACTGATATGATTAACACCTTGAAATTTTCTCCACGATTGAAGGAACGTTGAGGCTAAAGGTGCTGCGAGTTTGAGAAAAATGGATACAAATTCTGATTTTTGCCAGCTTAATAAACATCGAACTCAAAATGGGACGTTTGATCCAGCAGCGCTCTCTTTTTTAAAAATCCCTAACTTTCCAACTAAAGCAAGTAGCAATTCAAAAACTCACCAGTATTTCAAAGATACTCGCTTTTAAATATCAGGACAGTTTCACCCTGCAAAATCACCCTGAATCCTAAGCTTTGCCAGATCAGTAAATGTCGGGCCCAAAACGGATTTTTGTCCTCAACTGCGCCTGGCCATTAAAAATTCACACCTTCCAAACTAATGCGAGTTCAACTTTCAAATGTCCACAGTCTTTAAAAGAGACCGGGTTCTACATATGGGAAAAGTTTCAGAAAAATTCCCCGATTTCCCGATTTTTACTAAGCTGGTAAAAGTCAACCAATCAGTCTCAATGTCGATTTAACACAACTGCGCCATAATCTTTCAAAATTCACATCTCCCGTAGAAAAGCAGAATTAAATTTTGAACTTTCACTATCTTTGGAAAACACGTGACCCTACAGATGTGGAGAGTTTCAGAAAAACATCAAAAAATCCCGAATTTGCCAGTTTAGTAAACATCGATCTCAAAATCAGTGTATGAGTTTAGCTGCGCTCCTTTCTATAAAAAATTGCTTGTTTTCTATAAAAAATTGTTTCGCCAAACTAGCAAATAGCTAATGCCCAATTTCCACAATCTTTATACGACACTTGATTCTAAAGATAGCTAAAGTTCCGATGATTTCCACCTAAGAAGCTGCTTAGTGCGCGGCTCTGAGGGCGAAACATATTAAAACACATTTAACTCGAGTTGTTATTGTAACACGAATTCCTATTGCTATTAGCTACATCAGCACTTTGCTCTGTTTAGTTAATTTCAAGTAGACGGCGATAAAGGCTGGCAACAGACTCTCCAGAGTTCTGGATTAACATTCCCGGAACGTGCGAGCTCAATGAAACTCTTTGCGGAACTTCAATTTTTATCAAGTGTCGATTCACATGATCAATATGTGAGCTGAGTATTAACCGTATTCGTGAGCCTCGCTCTGGCTCTAAGCCAAAGATTAAGTGGATATGTACAAGACGAAGATCGTTGTTCGATTAAATAAACCACGCTTTTCTCCTCCTGGAACAAAGGACGTCGTCATCAACAATTCGCAACTATCAGTTACACGAGAATCCATTAATTAACCGGTTTTTCCCTTTGCCATTGCCTAGAATGTAAGTAGACTTTATAAAGAAGAGGAGTCTAGGGGTATTAGCAATGATAGATTCGCAAAGAAATTGCAGCAGAAGTTCAAATAACTTCCTAAATGAAACGAATTGAAAGCATTCCCCAACTCTCACCCTGGATAAGCAGCGAATAAATTTGCTTGATTAAGTTTTTTCTTGTTTTTTTCAGCTCCCCAGAACCACGTAATCGAACTGGACTTTCGGGACGAGTTCGAGATCGAAAATTCCCAAGAGTGCAAGAATGACTACTTGGAGGTGCGTGATGGCCAGTACGGATTCAACCAGGTGCTGTTGCACTTTTGTGGCATCAACAAGTTTCCACCGAAAGTTCGATCTTCGAACCGGCATCTCTGGGTTTATTTCAAATCCGACGAGAACATTGAAGGAAAGGGATTTCGGGCGGTGTTCGATTTTGTGCCTCGCATCAATAAATGTAAGTGAACAAAGAGCGTTGTTGCTGCACGATTTCTACCTCGACCTCCCAATCAATTCATTAGAATTGAACAGGGTTTTGAAGTTTTTAACCGATTTATGTCAATAAATTGCTTCGGGCTCGCTAAACTCTCTTTTGTTGAACGACCTGCCAAAGCGACAAAGCCCAGTTGGAAAAAAACAGCCATTTGCTAACTGCCAACTGGAAAAACTGATCCAACTCCACAGGAATTTTGCGAGAAAATTGCCAAAAAAAGTGTGTAAAAAATCAAATCGAGTCTTGCTCAATGTTGGAGTTGGACGAAATTTTAAGCGCTGAAGGTGCCAATTTCGAACGCAGCAGTACAAGGCGATCAAGCCGCGTTCATAGACTCATATGGGTGCGAGCGAGAAAACCGACGGGAGCTACGCTCTTAAATGACAAAGCCAGTTGTGGTTCAAATCAACACTTATTGACAACGCAATACTAATCAGCCTTTTTAACGAGAGGAGAAAGTTGCAGGCCCCAAAATGAGCTTAACAACCGCAAATGTTGTTGAAAGTTTTTCGTTACTTAATTTGCAAGTCTATAATTTTGAATCTGTTGTTTGGCGCTTAATTTCATGATCAAAGTTAGTTTAACATTTATGAAACGGCACGAAAATGTCAAGTTTTAAAGTGTTTTTCTGGTCCCCTGGAAAATTGGGCGCTTACAGCTCGAGGTTCGTTTCCGTGGAATTATCTGGAAGTACTAATAAAGATTTATGATTAGTGAAAGGCGGACAGTAAATTTCCGAAGAAAATAGTTCAACACGTTAGACAAACAGCGTAAAAGTACTTTCTGTCCGGGATTTTATGGGATAATCATTTCGAAGCGACATGTAGCCGAAGCCTTCGAAGATTTACACTTTAGGATTATGATCGTAAATAAATACCCATTAAGAAATAGAGACGACAGAGCGAAGAATAAAGAAGCGATAGCCAAGAAAACAGCAGTTTTTCAGGGTTGACTTACATACGTACCTCTCGACGGCTTTTTGCATGGAAAAATTGCCAAGCGAGTACAACGGCAGATGCCGTACACATAAACCATCCGATATTTATGAGACTGAAATCCCCATATTCTATTTCCTCGACACAGCATAAATTCCGGGTGGAATCTTGTTGGGTACCAACATTAAACCGAGCTCAAGGGACCAGTTAAATGGCTCAGCTACTTGCAATTACCAAAGCGAACTGCTCAATTTATGTTCGAACGGCGATTAGAGATTTAGTACTTGACTAGTTGAAATTTTCATTGGAATCCATTGAATTTTGTTTGCTGTTGGTTTTTCGCATTGATTATTTGACATTGACTTTATTGCTGAGTCAAAAAACCTTCATTTGTCTCCCAAAGCCGCGCTGAACGCTTTATCAACTTTTCCTAACTCAATTTCAATGTTTTTCAGCAAAGATTATGCGTATTTTCCGCATATTAGCCGGGCCTCCAGTGCCCATAAAACGAAACTATTAAATTCCTGGAAAACCTTTTCATTCGTGGGCAAGAATAACAGCATCTTTTCGCAGGGTCCGGCATCAAAAATTAATCGAATCGCTTTGTTCCATTCCAAAAGGTCGAAGCTCTTTTGGTTGGTATCTGGTTTGCATTTTGCCGCTCAAATTCTGTTAAATATAAATCGATTCGCAAACGCCACACGGGAATTGGTTTTTATGTAAAACCGAAACATTTCGAGCCAGATCTGAAAATCCCGGTCAAAGAACCGGATATCGGTCGATTTCCATTTTTTCCAATGCGCTTTCCTTTTTTTGCTTTGAAGTTCGCATTAATGCTTAATTCGCGTCTTCTTAGCGGATTTTGTCAACGTACGGGAAAGGTAAAAATGACATGGAAAATGTTCATTTGGACAGCGAAAAGTCTATTTTTTAACCCCATTGCAAGTTCCTAGTCGATCGATTGCCAAACTGGAAAAATTGAACCAACTTCACAGGAATTTTGCGAGTAAATTGCCAAAAAAAGTGTGCAAAAATCAAATTGAGTCTTGCTCTATGTTGGAGTTGGAAGACATTTTCAGCGCTGAAGGTGCCAATTTCGAACGCAGCAGTACAAGGCGATCAAGCCGCGTCCATAGACTCATATGGGTGCGAGCGAGAAAACCGACGAAAGCTACGCTCTTAAATGACAAAGCCAGTTGTGGTTCAAATTAACACTTTTTGACAACGGAATACTAATCAGACTTTTTACCGAGTTGGAGGCTCAAAAATAAGGTAAACAACCACAAATTTTGTTGAAAGTGATCCGTTACTTAATTTGCAAGTTTATCATTTTGAATAAGTTAATTTGTTGTTTGGTGCGTTCTCTCAATCAGGCAATGCACATTTTACTCGCTTCCAGAAACTGCCAGAAAAATGTCTTTGAATGCAGTTTCTGATCGACGTTAGCTTCAACCGTTTCACCATTCCAAACAGTAAAAGTTCTTCCGTTCTTTAGTTTGGCAGACCATTGTTTAAGAAACGCTAACTTTCTCCGCTTTTTGCATTAAAGGAACCACTGGATGTGGTGCTTGGACTTACACTGTCATCTTTTCTGCAATCGCTCGTTTCAAAAAACTAACTGTTCCAGTGAAGAGCAAAATAGAAATCCTCGAATAAGATCGCTTTAATTCCATTTTCCATTTCAGTTAGCAACGAAATACGTAAGACTGGGAAAAAAAGATTGAGAATTATAATCGTTTGAAATGGCATTATAAGCACGAAACAGCCAGAAATTGCGTAGTTTCTAATTAAACTGTAAAAATGTGCTAAAGGCAGGGCAAACTGTTGGATCTTGCGTAATTTCATTTGTTAGGAAAATAATAAATAGCTCTCGTAGCACTTAGAAGCCAGTTGAGCCTTTGTGGCAATTCACAACACTCAAAAGGCTGCTTTTGATATTATTTGGCATTCAAGGCAAAGAATGGCATCTAAAGTTTTCGAGGGTAACGCCGGTTCAACAAGTTAAAAAAAAATTAAAAACTGAAATTTTTTACAGTTTTTCTAAGGCATGTTGTAGTTTGGGAATTATTTTCTCAGACACTGGCAAACTTGGAAGGTTGCTTTTGTGCCTCGTTTGTATATCTATATCTATAAGTGGAAAACCCTTCGATTCTGAGTGATCTTCAAGGAATTTTTTGAATTTGTTTGCATTTGTCTTGTTAAAAGTGAAACAGTTTCAATTTTGAGCCATCATCAGTCTATGTTCAAGATTTTTTTTGAATTTGCATTATTTTGTCGCTTATTTTCCTAGTAACCCGTGAAGTAACGAAATCGCTTTTGGATGCGTTTTGCATGAAAAATTGCGGTGTTTGTGCGTTGAAAGTTTCGATTGCAAGGAATTGTCAGGAAATTTGTCAGAATTTTTTAAATGAGCGTTTGATTTTTGAAGTTGTTTTCGTTGGCCCAAATTACGCAACTAATACTTCAACACCTGAAAGCTCTCAAGAATCAGCTTTGTGCAGTTTTCCTGAGGCAAAATGCGTTCTATAAGCGGAAAGCGTTTCGATTTTGACTCATCCTCAGGAAAATTTCGGGAATTTTTCGAGTCGTTGGCATTTCGCGCTCGTTTATGCTGACTGGAGTTATTTCCTCAGAAGCCAGTTGAGTTGAAGATTGATTTTTACATGATTTTTTAGGGCGAGTGCTGAAACTTTCAATTGCGAGTTATCAACAGGTTTTATTCAAGTAATTTTCAAATTTGCGATCGAGTTTTGCTAATTTAGCTGCTTATGCAGGCAGATTTGTATTTGTTTTTTGAAAAACCAGTCGCACTGCAGATTTATTTTTAGAAGTTTTTTTTAGAGAAAAGTCCGTTCTATTCGCGTCAAAAGTTCCGGTTTTCACTCATCATCAATTTTCAAGATTTTTTGTAATTTTCCATGTCAGAAAGTGGCAGACTTAACAAACTTTCTTCTTGTAAACAGCGCAAATAGTTCATAATTATACTTGTAATAACATTTAGACTGTTTGCTCGGTACACTTGAAAACACATAAAATAAAAGTATGTGAACTTTGCCTCGGCGCAGTGTTTGTTAAGAGTGCAATTTAAGCCGTGTGTTCCTTTTTAATTCGTGAATTATGCAATGAACAGTTGCGATGTGGAAAATTGCAATTTTTCCACCATTGCAAATTACCGTTAAAAATGCATTGTAATTTATCAAACAAGTGCTTATGAGTTTATGAACACAAACTGGCAAAGAAAATGGCACAATCTAATGTTTCTACTCATGCAAATCAACACAAAACAACCATCAGTTGCTTCTTGGCCTCAAATTGCTGCACAATAAAACGTTCAAAATACCGCTAGATGCATTTTCATGTTGTCTGTCCTGATGTTGTTTCCTGAATTGTTCCAATTTCTTGGCATTTTGCTGAACTCCTGCGTTCTCTAACTTCCCTACTACTTTTCTAACTGATTCTATTGGGCCTCTGCTGGTCCGGCTTTGTTTTTGTGTTCTTCTTCCATTCAGCAGATCCAGGATTTTCTTACTCGCCCATTCCAGCGTCTGTGGAGTTTCTACATGAAATTCCATGTCCACGTTTTGCATCTTTGTCACTTTCGCTTTTAAACCATTACATGCATCTTCGCCCTCCTTTCTCAATATCATGTTTGCATTCGCTTCTGTTCCGTTTTCCAGCTGGTTTCAATCGTCCTCCAGCCTTAAAGCTGGATTTTTGCAACAAAACACGGAAATAAAAACGTAGCAGCTTGGAAAAACCCAATCGTTTCCTTTCAGGCTCGATGCGAGATCGGATTTCCCAATATAGTTAGTTACCCGGTAATCGGGTTACCTTGAAGCGACATGATCGCTATGTTTTATTACCTGCAAGCTTGGAAGGCTTTGAAAATGCATTCGCTTTCTTTCAGCCAGCAATCCGGAAATTAAGGAATGCAAAAAGGAAATAAGCAATCAGGAGGAGGGCCGATTTTCCCGAGACGACGTCCCAGCAAACATAATTGAGTTCGACAGGCTGTTCGATATGCCTGTCGACTGTATGTGGGTCATCACGGTGAGGGTCAACTGGAGGGTAAGTCTAAATAATTCATTTTTTATTTCGAAACATACATAGTTAAATGGAACAAACATCGAGCAAAATCACAGCAAAAGTGTTGCTTAATTATGAAGAACAGTGCTTAGCTTTGTGGACAAAACCAAAGGCAATTATCAATAATATCAATAAACAAAAAAGGACTAAATTAAGCAGTAGTAGTTGCTGGGTTAGCTTGGGCATTTATCTTTGCGTTTGCCTGCGCCGTTCCTCAAATCGGAATCATCTATTAAGATCCAGGCCGAGCACAAAACTGTAAATTAATATATCTGGCTTCAGTATCATATCGAATCTAATTGGAAATATGCACAAAAATGTCCAACTTTGCGCGGTCAAAGCTGGAAATTTTAGCTGTGAAGGTATCAGTTTGGAACGTAGCGGCGCACAGGCGATCGGCCGCCGCCCATACAGTCCATGGGTGCGAGCGAGAGATCCGAGCCGCGCTACGTTCTGGAATGAGATTCGGTTTTAATTATTCAAAATCGTATCTTCAGATACTTTGGGGTGTTTTTCCTGATTTTCAGGTCAATAGGAAACACCAAAAACCCGAAAAACACCCAAATGTCTTCGCGAGTTTTAACATTTTTCGTGCATTTTGTTTTAATTCTGAATATTCCTAATTGCTTATTTAAAACTGCAAATGAAATTGGCTCACCTAGAATCACTAGAAGAATCAAACAGAATAGAATAAACCCCACTACAACATTTTCTTTGCTCTTCTCTTCTTGTAACTGACCGGCAGGTTGCACGGCATGAAATTCTTCATACATCCAAGTATCTTAAATATTTCTTTGGGTTTCAATTTCAATCGCTCAAAAATCCCTTGAGGAATTTCACTTTTGCGTCACAAGTATGTCAGCCTGAAGCCTGCATTATGTACGGAATGAAGGGAAAGTCGCCTCAAAGGATTTTGTAAATTTGATGAAGATTACAAGAAAACTTTATAAAAATTTACAGTTTCTTGCCCAAGATTGAAAGTTTTGGATCAGCAACAATTTTTGGCAAAATATACTTTTAAATATCGTAATTTTCAAATAGGGAAAAACTGTAAAAGACAATTTGACTTTTCCCTTCCAGATACAACTGCAATTCGAACGATTCGAACTGGATAGTCCGAACGACTGCGAATCCAACTTTGTGGAAGTGTTCTCGAACGATACAACAAACTCGAAAAAACAGTTTTGTGGCTCGATTGCCGACACTATTTTATCGGACACCAATCACAACGTGCTGATTGTGCGATTTTATTCGCAGCATTTCCAGAACAAAACGACTTTTGCTGCCAATTTCACCGCTTTCAGGCCATACGATAAAGGTAAGTACCAATCAAACTAAACTGTTGGAACGTTTCAATCCGCAAATGTTGAATTCACTTTGTGTGTTTCAAATTTAATTTTCAATCTTCGAAGGGAGTTACAGAGAACAAACCAGAGTTTTGCTTAAACGGTGCTTCTTTCACTAGTCGAGTGGAATTTTCGTGCTTCATGTTGAACTTCGCGCTTGTTCGTTCAAGCCGCTTGTTTTTAAGTCTTCTCCCTCATTTTCATTCAATCTGCAAAGGTTGAATATCGGGTTTTTACCGATGGACTACGAAAGGAGAAACTAATGAATGAGAAATAACCGAGTTGCAATGGGCTGAAACAGGATCGCACAGAATGGCAAAGAATAATAGCGCTAAAGTTTCCCATCACAGGCTTTGGAAACTCTAGTATATTATGTGCAGAGGTGATAAATGTTGATGCGATGCGAATACGACATTAGTTAATTATGTTTCAAACGTAAATGGAACTTTGCTGGCAAACACTGAGCCTAATTAGCAAAGTGCAGTCTAATAAAACGATGAAGCAAGACACCTACTTATGCGAAAATGAGAAACTTACTTTAATACCTTTCACTGCATTGCATTCCACTTTGGGTTAATGTTGCCAATAAGTGTTTCTCGCAATCAAAAAAAAAAAAAAACTCGCTGTTTCCCGGTTAGAAAAACACCTTTTCTTGTAAAGTTCGGATGCTTCAGTCGGCATTTCCGCAATTTGCATAACTTGATTTCAACTCCCGCATATTCGTTCTTCAATGCTTAAATTGTTGCGCGATGTAATTTTCCATCAATTATCCCTAATTTTATTTCAGGCGCTTTCCCATTGAAAGCTTATTATTGACGACAAAAATGCTGGCTGCCGCCTATTGAGTACATTTATTTTTTGAGTAAATGCCCGGTAGGGAAACTGTCAACATACTTAAAGCAAACATAAAGTTTCCCTAATCGCTAAAGTTTCAGATGTCGGGGCTAAAAAACATACTTAATGTTCCTCCGCAAAACACTTAGGAACTTTTCCAAGGATACCTTGTATCTAAGATATGATGTAATTGTCTCAGTTTTTCTCAAGAACATCGGGGTTTTTCGCTGAAAACTTTACGATCGGCGTTTCCACTTTGTACGTAATGTAAGTAGAAAGCGAATTTCCTCCAGCAGGAAAACAATCCGTTTTCAATCTTGATAGGGAGTTTAAAGAGGACGAAGGGCGTTTTTTCAGAACTGTTCAATTTGCCTCAACAATCGGTTCGTTGCAGTTGCCGAAGTGACTTGAAGAGAGCAAAGTGATCGTTGAAAAATCATATTGAAACATTCTTCAGTTTTCTTCAACAGCGTTTTCCTTACAGGGGGATTTTTAAGTCTGCAAAAATTGAAGTTCTGTTTTGCGTTGCTTATGTTCTTTTAGTCTACTTTTGAATACCAAAAAGACATAAACTGTGCCTGTAAAGTGAGTTAAAGGCTTCATTGAAATTGTTAAGTTTTCACAAACCGTTTTGTCTTCACAGGTGCTGAAACGCAGCGCGGGATTTTTAAATCTGCAAACATTAAAGTTCTGTTTTCTCTTTAATTATTTCTGTCCTTTAGTCTCTTTTTGAACATTCAAGGTGAGTTATTTTTTGAAATCGTCCAAAAAATCAGCGTGCAACTTGAAACTTAAAACTGTTGAGAGTCGCTCCTGCTTTATCCGTTTCGAGCAAATCTAGATATTCACATTGGATGGAGCTCTTTTGTCTTGGTTCCACATCAGTTCAATTTCCAGCCAAAGCCTCTAATTAGAGCAGTTATAGATCAGAAAGTGACATGAAATTAAATTCTATTTCTAAATTAATTGTCTCTTTGCTCCAGTAGTTGCGACAGGTACCAGATCGCTTTAAGCCCTAATTTGTGGCTTAAATGAAATCGGCTTGATCGACACTTCGAGAAATCTGCTTTATCGAGTGTAGTCAAGTGCAGTTTTCGGATGGGATTGAAAATTCCGCCTCTTGCGTCTTTTCTTGTCTAAGAAATTAGCAAAATTATCGTCAGTCGACACAAACCCAGCACAAGGG